AACAGAGCTGTGTCACATGATCTGTCATGTGATTTGTATCCAGCCAATCAGCGTCTTCTGGAGTTTCAACAGCACTGAGTTCAAAGAAGCTACGTAGTTTTACTACGTGAGCCAATGCGGGCCCCGAGCCACTGCAGCTAACTGTTGCTAGCCATGGGCCTCAAGCCTCATCTCAGACCTCAGGTCCACCTCCCAGCTCATGCTGCCCCCCTGCTTGGACTTCCCTCAGAAGCGTCAACTCACACTATCAATAAATCAAGAAAACGTGACAAGTTTTACCAGTTGTATTAAATCAAGGCAGGAGAAGGTTACAGTTTACAGCACTGGCCAGTCCGGTATATAACGCAAGATCAGGAACCGGAATGGCCAGATGTCCCATGGTATTATAGATTTATAGGGCCTAGACTCTTCTTTCGCAGAAGGGGAGCCGTTGGTTATGTATTGTAACCCCAGATTCTATGAGTGTAAGCGTAGCCCTTTAAAAGAGCCTGATTTAGCTTTGTAGAGATCTAGTAGAGTGCTGTATGAATGGGTAAATGAGGGCACAGATTGTGTTGTAAAGAGCTTTGAGTATCTCGCTAAGATAGAAAGGCACTATATAAGGACAGTCCATTTACCATTTACCATTTATGTGACTAGAACCTGATTTGTGTTTGGATAGTTTTTGTCCAGTTGAGCTCTCTGAATTGTCAAAAATAATAACCTCATCCAAACCATCCACATGCCTGCTAGATCCCATCCCAACCAGAATGTTTAAAGAGGTATTTCTCCTAATTAATGTTCACATTTTGGATCTACTTAATTTGTCTTTAATGGATAGTTATGTACCACAGAGCTTTAAGATTGCTGTAATTAAACCTTTACTTAAGAAGTCTGACCTTGATTCAGAAATTCTGGCCAACTATAGACCTATATCTAATCTAACTTTCATCTCAAAAATTTTAGAGAAAATAGTTACAGGTCAGTTGCGTGAACATCTACCAAGAAATAATCTGTTTGAATAGTTTCAGTCAGGGTTTACATCCCATAATAACACAGAAACAGCACTAGTAAAAGTCACTAATGATATTCTCATGGCCTCAGGCAATGGACTTGTGTCTATACTGGTCCTGTTAGACCTCAGTGCTACATTTTGTTTGTCTACCCAGTGAGATTACCACGAGTTATGGCAAAACCCCACTGCAGCCTCTCCTCTAAGGAGTATATCGGACCAATCTAGCACTTGAGCTTTACCCAAAATTACATTAGATTAATTCTACTTAAGGCTGTATCGGAAGTGATTCACCCACATTGTTAACAACCATCAGCTGCAAGCCACACCCTTATCTCACCCCTAGACTAGTCCAACCTAGTAGTCGGGGTTAGGACATTAATCAAGGGGAAACTGGCATTTTTAGGCAGCTCACCTCCTATCATAGAACTGCAATTGTTACTTATCTGGTAGCTTTAGAATCTAGGCACAAGATTCCAGGGTGTTGTTTGATCCAAGCTGCGAAACCTTTAAAAACCTCATTTTCTTGATGAATTTGAACCAAGCTTTTCCAACTGTTTGAACCCGAAGTGTAGAAATGATAGTCCAGAATTTTATATTTTATGCTTTGCTTTAATCAAGGATTTGCAGGGGTACACTGTTATCAGCACATTATAATTGATACATTTGATCATTTAATAAAATTCCAATGACAGAGAGTTCATGCCTAGTTCCAAGGACTGTCTTATTGGTTTATGGGACACTCAGGGTCCTAGGATGTTCACAAGGCGTGGCTCCCCTGACTCAGATGAGCCAGGTTGGAGAGTCCTATCTCCTAACTCTTGAGTTGTTTTTACAGAGCAGCCTGTTCCTGATACAGTGGAATGTCATGCACTCGGAGCCCCAAAGCAGGATAAACCCTTCAAACCTCCTGGTCTGTCTCACTAACCAACCAACCAAGTTTAACTAAACCTGTTACAAACTACCCTGACAGCACACAGTTTATGTGGTGACTTTCAACATGCTGGAAACAGAACAACACTCTCTCATCCTGACTCTACCTCTCAATTTATAAACACTGTTATTTCATATAAATTTAGTAATTTGGACATTGGGTTAGAAGTCGCTCACCATTTCTGTCCGAAGACTTTTAGAAAATGGCACGATAATCTCTCTTCTGGAGCCCTAGAAGAAATCTCCTTAATTTTCCAAAAGCCGTCCTGATCCTGGGGAATCTGGTCTGGAGTCAGCCCAGCTGAACAAAAGTATTCCTATCTTTATATATTAAGAATCCTCATATGAGCTGTTACAGATTCCACCACGTAGCTCCTGGGGATGCCTCAACATTGTCCTACTCTTCAGACCTCCACCTCCTGTTCAGCCCGTAGTTCTTTTGGGCTTGGTTTTTATTGATTTTTAGGCTTGCTGGCCAACCCTTTTCCCATCCCATTTAGCCTAGTGTTCTATTCTGATTTGCTACAGTTCTTTAAAGAGGTTGGCTTCTGATTCACAACTAGACTGTCCCCAAACTGTGCCCTTAAAAGGTATTGCTTATTGCTGTGTGTACTGTTCTACTTCTCAGCTTACAAGTTACCGACACACGATCTTTCCCTACAGTA